TAAAGCCTTTTTCAACCTTGGTAAGGTAGCAGCTACCCAGTTGGTGAGAATACATGAGGCAGCGTGTCAAGATGGCCCTCTGGTCTTTAGGGTACTAATTCTGAAGAGTCAAGTTCAACTCCATGTTCTGCCACCATTCCTGTATGACCTTAGACTTTTGAGCTTGTCTACACTTAAAAGGAGTTGCTGACACACCTGTAGAGCTGAGAGCATGTATGCTGGTACACATGAAGCTTCCTGAATGGATTAAGCTGTGCCAAAGGATTTTTCAATATGGGGGTATGGCTCTTCCAGCTAGGGGGCAATTTTCTCATGCTCCTAAGAACATGTCATTATGCTGGGAAAAACTGAATGCAGGCAAACCCAAGTGACTCCAGGCCTCTGCTCTTTCCTCTCACCCCATGTGAACTGTGGTAACAGCACTTCTCTACCTCACAGGACTGTTTTGAGGATGCATACATTCAAGCTAGCACGGTGCTTAGCTACTGTAGTGACAGGACCCATCTACCTATGATAGATAAAGCAGCACTGTTCTTTTGTTTGTTTCTGGTAGGAGAGAAGTGTGCATGTTGTTTTTAGAGTGTAAACTCTTTAAGACAGGTCTGTGGAATGATATTTTGGCTCCACTGATGCATCCCATTGCCTTCAGTGCAATAAGGATGTCACCTGCTATTATTAAAATGTACATGGCTTATTACAAAATGTGACCTATAATATAGGAAAGCATTGCATGTCCTCGGAGGGACCAATGTAATACACAGTGTATTTTAATGTTTCCAGCTGGATGGCAGGTTCTGATCAACAAAGCCCGCAATCCAGATTCTACTGTTGTAAAGCCAGGGCATCGCGCTAAAATGATGCATCAGTACATTCCAGTCCATCTCTCAAAACACAGCTGCATTATCCCGTCCTGCTGTCACGAGACCATTGGCTAGGAAAGGACAATGAGCTACCAGAATCTCTAAAGCAACAGCAAGTATGGGAGAGGTGGGGTTAGTGTGCACAGTTTGAATCAGACAGCTGCAACTGGTGGAGTACTACTGGCCTGCTGTTTTACAAACCACACCTGCCCTGGTAGAGCAAATAGCACATCTACAGCCAACTGTAAGAGATGAAGAGGGCCTCTATTCCACTGTCATCTCAGCCCAGTCTTGGCCATATGAATTATTCTTGATCCAAAAAAATAGAGGAAGCACCATCTAGCCCTGTAAAGAGGGCTACTTGAAATGTAAAAAACAATAGAGCTGTGTACAACAAGAGCAATGCTACAACCAGGAGTCTGTTCCCTTTCCCAGCTCTTTACTGGCGGAGTGTGAGGGCTTTGCAGAACACAGTGGACTGATTTGTTTGAAGTGGACTGTAGAATGTCATTTCCTTTTTAAAGGAAGTAAAAGTCGTCTTCTGCTCTCACACTCTTGTGAATACTGCTCTGCCCCTTCCAAACACTGGCAAAAGGAAAAAAGGTGTTTCTTTCAGTAATAACCACTCCGTTCCAGCAGGCTCAGAAAGCAGCTCCTTCACCATGGTCTGGAAGAGGGAGTGGTACTCTCAGCAGGTCTTGGAGACAGGCAGAGACCAGAAGTTCAGTAAAAATGCTTCTTTACCTGATATTTGTGCTAAAGCTCATGACAGGTGGGCACAGACAGGTGACTCCTATTAGCTAGGGCAGTTTTCCTAAGCTTACCTACAATTGCCAATAAGTCAGTGGAAAATGTTTGCTGGTTTAAGCAAGGTTGGAGTAGATTGTAATCTACCAGAGTTGGTTTAATACTAAGAAAGTCCTATTCTTCATGTAAGTCTTGAAAAATTTAATTATGTTCCACTCCCTCGCTGCAAGGGTGAAGCCTGGATTGTAGCTGTGAGTAGGAGGGAAAATAATGAGAAACCAGTTCTTGTGTACATGTTCAGAGCCAACAATAAATTTAGGAAGCTGCTGTTATTTAGCAGTAAAAGCCATTGCTCTCTCCTCTGAGCTCAGCCATGAATAGATGCTGCTAAAGCAGGGGGGTCAGAGAGTGTGATTGTTTAGAGACATTACAACACTGAGGGAGAGGGCACTGCATTAAATGGCTCCAGGTATTGCAACCTCTCTGCAGTGAGGGAGTAATATTACATCTACTGTACAATTGCATCATAACCATCATCACATTAAAACCTAAAAGGCACTGCTTTAAAGGCAAAATACTTCAGATGAAAGAGGGAGAAGATTCTTCACAATATCCTCTTTTATCAATCAAAACAGTCAAACTGATCAGCTTACTGTTCCCCCTTCTTCTCCCTCCAGCAGTGTTCCTTTAGCTGCAGTGATTTTACAAATAAATTGACAGAACAGTAAGAGGAGGTATTAGCTGCATTCTCCAGGGTAGACTTTATGCTCAGGAGAGAGGTTAGTCCTGTTGCCTTTTACATACAAAAGGAATATATGCTACAGTGCGCTGTATCTAAGGTCAGAAGCCAGAACAAGCCTGCTAAGCAGATCTTAACAGATCAAGCTATCACATGCCCTAGTGTTGGTAAGAGCAACAACAGCTCTACAAAGAAGCTATACGTATGCTTCACAGGGAGGCAAAAGCAGGTAAGTCACAGCACAGCTTGATACTGGGTAGCAATCTCCTCCTACCCCCTTGCCCCCACAGTTAATAGAGACAGTAGGGCACAACAAAGAGCCTCTCCTCTTACGTGCTGCAGTGGCTGCCTTTTAAGAGAAGAAAGTCAAATTACAAAGGCAGCAGTGGCTGTACTTGTCCAGCTGGGATGGAACAGCAGCAGACTTACATTTATCATCCACTTGTTCCAGCACCCACACTTCTCTCGGTACCTTGGAAGTCTAATGGCCCCACTAATAGCTGCTGAAAAGTGGAGGTTATGGGAGGCAAGTAAACAGATATGAAATCATCATTTCAGCAGGCTCTTCTCAGTCTGTTTTAGCAGTGCTGTCTGATAGAACCAACATCCAGACAGCTCATGAACACACACTGCCCTGCTACTGCCTAGCAACCTGTTAGAAAGACTCAGATCGCAGAGGGCAGTAAAATCCCTAAGATACAAATTAAAGACCTGCTCCTGCTCAAGTTAACAGTAGAACCAAACTGGGGCCAGGAGCAGAGAGCCCTTAACAGCTGGCCAGAGCAAGCGACTCAAGTAAAATAGCAGGAGAAAGGAATGAGGAGATTTCAATGGTGTTATGTCTGCATCCAGAAATGAGTTACAAGTCCAACTTGTTTCTGTGATATCTCCTAGCAGAAGTGCCTCCATGAGGATGGTTATAAATGAGGCATACGGTCTGGATAGACATAAAATTATGAAATGCATGGGTCAGTTCTACATCAAAGGTCAACTCAGGACAGAACCACCCTCTAAAAAAAAAAAAAAGAGAAAAGAACTCTTTAATTACATCCAGCTCAGTTCCAGTTTCTCTTTTCAGTCTTTTTTTCTCCAAATCTAGCCTTGTAAAGATTAATGCTATACAGAAGCAGGGAACAGGGATAGTACAAGTGTTCTCCTATAAGAGAATATTCAAAGCCTTGGGAAAAGAAGACAAAAGACTCTACCAAGGGGGAGCACACTGCACAGAGGATATAAAGTGCTATTTATACTTGTGAAAAGCAACCCAGTTAGTACTGCAAGGACTTGTCTTACACATGCTGGGTCATTTCCCCCCTTCCTCAAACCTAATTCCTAATCTGTCTGGCATGAAGAAAAAAGGGAAAGCAACTTCTGAGTCCCAAACAGAAGCAGACATCTGCTGGAGACAGCCCTCGCAGGAAGGTGGGATGTGCCCATCTCTCACTTCCGAAGTACCAAGGGTCAAACCAATGCTGAAACTGGTAAAGGGAGTGCAGAAGTCAGTCAAAAAGAAGAAAAAAAAGTTGGACAAAATGTAGGGAGTTCAGGCCCAGCTTTGGCCCACAGTTAGGAGGAATGGAATGAAGTGTCTACTCCATTTGCCAGCAATTAGGTAACATTTCCACAGTAGTTGTGCAGCCAGCCCACTTGACTACAGCTTGCAAGACAGCCCAGCTGCTGATGTCTGTCATAGGAAAAAAAGGCCCCATCCCCATGACTGCCATGGCCTTAGTTTAAGCAAGGTAGATGAGTGCATTGCATACCTGGCTTCACATACACAGGTAAACTGACTTAAGTCAGTGGCTCAGCTTGCATGCCAGCAGGTTTAGGACCTACAAGAATGTGCTGCAAAGCAGCAAGTTACACCTTTGGCTCAGAGTGAAACACATTCAAGTCTGGCAAATGGAGGGCAGTCATCCTATCCTGCTCAGGAGCCAGCCTTTCATGAGGGGCCATATGGTCCCACACAAACTATATCCAGCCCTTTTCTGTAATCTAAGAGCTGCAATCCTTGTGCACAGGAGGTAGAGGGCAGGAAGATTTGGCCCCTAGTCTCCCACATGTCCATCTCTCCCTCAGGCATGTGAACCAGAAGAGGACTCAAAGCTGCCAGAGAACAACAGAATCAGCCTTGCACCACAGCTGAAACCCAGTACACAGCACATTGACAGACGTACACCTTCTTGCTATATGCGGACAGCTGCCTGACAAAGAACCCACTTACTGAATGTTCAAGCAGAGGGATGAGTGACAAGACAGGGCAAGCACAAGCTGAAGCAAACCATGGCACAAGGAGAGGGAGCTGGTCTAAGCAGCAGAATGCCCCCCCCCCAAGAGATTCTGCATTCATCTGTTAGAGGGGGAAGGACTGACTACCCTAGTCAGAGGCAAGCTTCCACA